TATTCATCAGTTTAATTCTTTCAAGTAAATTCAAAAGTATATTTTCCATATGATGAAACATATCTTTTTTATATTGTTAAAGTTGACCAAAATAAAATCAACTCATCAGTGTTTAGGTATAGCCATGAATTTTGTGCATCATATTAGGGGAACAGGTAGGAAGCTGGATTTAAGAATGTCTAGAACCAGGGAGATTCCCAGAAGAGAGAAGGAGTGCTGAGTGTTGGTATTGTATCTTAAATTAATTTTACCTTGTTCTTGCAACCCAAGATACAATAGCAGCCTTCTGTTTTGCCCACCATTTCAATTAGTCCCAGAAAAGGTTATTATGTGAGGTCATGGTGTGAACATCAAAATGACTTCATGGAACTTTGAACTTTGTTAAGGACACAAGACGTACAGCCATCAACCAAAGAAATCACAGTAAAGACATCACATTGTGAGGTCTCTACAGGACTGTGATAAACATACAGCACAGCACGATTCTAGAGGACGAGGATGGGGCTGCCAGGGAGGGAGGGGGCTGGGGTCTTCATGAGCTGAAGGACCCTGACACTAAGCCTCAAAAGGTAAATAGGATTTAGATACAGAAAACATTGCTTTGAAAGGGGGTCAAGAAGGTTGTGAAAAGGGAAATGACAGATTTTTTTCGGGCAAGGCAATGGGAGAAAATAATTCTTCTTTAACATGTCCACTATTGAAATTCATAAGATTTGAAAGAAGAGATTTTCATTTAAGTTATTGACTGATATGAGAACATGTGTGTGTGTTTCCTGACACCAGAAAAAGGCCTTGAGGGAGAAATGGCTTCTCGATGGAGTCACCAGTGGGAAAGAACAGGAAGAGATGAAGAAGCAAAATCAGCAAGACCAGTACCAGATCCAGGTTCTAGAACAAAGTATCCTCAGGTAGGACCTCTCTGAGATGCCCCACGTCTACCTTCTCCTTTGTCTTTGTACCGTGTGTTTGTGTAACAAGCTATTCTCAGTTTAAGGGGCAGAATCACATCTTCCATTTTTATTTCCAAAAATGACTAGGGAAACACACCAGCAGGCAGAAATAGAAATGTCATGTTAAATGTCTCCTGAATATCTCAACACTATTTTTAAACATATATTGGTGAGTTACCCATACCTCTCCGAGTCTGTGTCCTGTAATTACCTATCTTCAGGGTTGTTGAGCAGATTTTAAAATAGTTATGCATCTACTTGACATATGGCAGATGCATCAAAAACTGTGCTTCTTCCCAGGGCCAGCCCCCACTCTCACCTGAAAACAGGTGACAGGTCTACTGGTGTGTTTGCATTGTCTCTCCATCAGACCTCTCCCCCACCAACCCCACTCTATTTTGGAAGAGAAGATATCAGATACTGGGGCCCTTTTCTACTTCTGTGACCATGTGGCCACAGGTGTTCATCTCATTTCTCCATTTCCTTCCCTTCCCATCACGCACAGTCAGCAACTCCCGATGGAACAAGTACAGTCATCAAATTACCATACCTTAAAAAGAGATAATGGGCTTGAAAAAAAAAAAACAGAAAGCTCAAATATAAGGTGAGATTACTAGTACTATCCCCCCCACAAAAAGATAGCATGAAAAATTAGATATTGGAAAGTCAAAAGTCATTTTCCAAAATGGACAACATGGGAAAAAAAGCTTCCTTTATAAAAAATTATTTCCATCTTATTAGCTTAATTACCCATTCGTGTTTTTAATAGCTAAAATCTTTGCTTATCCCTATTTAGCTGTTTTTTCTGAAATTCACAATTCTTAAGAAGTTATATAATTTAAACATTTATTTTTATAAACCCCTCAGTTATTTGCTCAAAGACGTGGAGTGCTTCCAAACAGTAGACAATAAACGCTTTAAAAATCAATCAATCAATCAATCATCAATCAATCAATCAGCCCTACAGTTTGGAAAACTCCATTCTCTTAGCAAGAGCTTCTTACCAAGTCTGGCTTCAGCTGATGATTACTTCCCTTCTTTCTCAGCATGGAATCCTTATCTCTGAAGGAGTCCAGAGTTAATCCCTGTAAGCCCTTCCCGCTGTACAGACACCTCCTTGCTTTCCCTCACAGCTTCTTTTCAGTCTTTCCACCTACTGAACACCTACAACTCTCTCTGTAACTGATGATAATTGAAGTGGCTACATATGCTCAAGCTCCATAAACGGGTTTGGGCAGCATTCCGAGTAATCCCAAGTACTTATTAGGACTCTTCTGATTGCTTTTGGACCTTGCCTGAATGCTCTCAGAAGCACATAAGTTTCTGCCAGTACTGACAGAGGCCTGTCTACTGACAGCTCCTGTCTGACCAAAACTAGAAGAGGATAAGGAGGAGAGGTATTTAAATGATGTATATTATGCTCCCAGCACTTTACATATATTATCCCATTTAATCTTCATAACCCTGTGAGGTAAGTATGAACTTCATTTTTTTTTTGAGTTGTACAGATTTTTTATTGTTTTAACCAAAACAAATTTACTGCAAATTACCAAGGGTTGAACTTCATTTCTTGAAGAAAGATTAAGGAAGTCACACAACTAGAAAGAGGCAGATCAGAACTATTTCATCTGACTACCCTACACTGCCTATCAAACAACATCACGCAGCAACCTCTGTGAACACAAAAGGTGTTACCTCTTATGATAAGTCTTGGAAGCATGATCTGTCCCTTTATTCTCCTTTCTCCAAAACCTCCTATCACATTGGGGGATCTTCTTCCATGTCCCTCTACTCTCTTAAAGTACCAAATCACTACCTGTTATTTGGTACAATTTCTGGCATCTCAATACAACTTCATTTTAGGTCTTCAGGATGCTATTAACACATCACTACTCCTAAATAAACACCAAATTATTTTAGTCTGCCAATATGAATAATAACAATAATGGTTCATTCTGAAGGGCTTTGTACAGTTTACAAAATACATGCATTTACATTGTCACTAAGTACTCATGGCAATTCTAAAATAAATAAATAAAAATTTAAAAGCATCAATACCTTCATTTGATAGATGAGAAAATAGACTTAGAGAAGGTAAAGACTGAATTAAGACCACAGGGTCAGTTATGAGTAGCCTTTAGTCTAATGCAAGGGAAGGTCAGTGCTCCTCAGCTAGAAAATGAATTGAGAGATGTAGATGTAAATGTTCAGGAAATAGTAAGACACCTGACCATGGACAAGTGTTATCACTTATAATCAGCAAACTGCTTTGGTTAAGGAACAGTCCGAAAGAAATGTATTTGCAAAGAATTAGTAAAGAATTTGCATTCCTTGTGGTTCACAGAGGCATGTTTATCTGGTGAAAAATGTGGAAGGAACAGAATGTTCCAAAGCAACATAGGAAGACAAGAAATACGTGTGCCTTGTCTACATTAAGCAGCCTCCACAACTGCCCCTCATTCTAGAAATCACACTGCCAGAGCAGCTTTACCTGATAATTGAACATTTTTTTTCAATGTTTCAACATTTTATTCAGGGGATAAAGATATACATCAGTCACTAGTATGGCATTATGTAAAAATGTGAATGTGTAACCTATGTGATTCTGCAATCTGTATTTGGGGTAAAAATGGGAGTTCATAACTCACTTGAAACTATTGTTCGAAGTATAATTGAACATTTTTTTCTCCGATATTTCTAAAGCTACGAAATAATCAGGTGCATGTTTTTTTTTTTAATTAAATCTTTGCCTAAACAACTACTCACAGTGTCTAAGAAGCTTTCATTACCAACTAAACCAGAGCAATTTCCTGCTAGTTCTGAATAGCAATCAAGCCACCTGATGAAGTTGAACTAAGCAGAACTGTCTCATTGCCTAAGCAGGGAAAGTAACCCAAACCCTGCATGTGATTTACCATTTCACTTAGGTGCCTGCTCAGGGGTGACATTGGCCTTTCTGCTATTGGCCTTTCTACCTAGCTCCTCAGCTAGAGAATAAGAGTTGAATCAAAACAGAAACACTGTAATTACCCCAGATTTTTCATATGAAGTTTTCATTCCTTCTATGTCCATACTTATGTGTCATGGGCTGAAAGAGCACAGCCTTTGGCATTCAAATCTCTGTTTTGCTAACCATAATACAAAAGCTTGGCCTTGTTCTTTCACCTTGGTAAGACTCAGTTTCCTTTCCTGTAAGAGTGAGTCAAATGTAGCCAGCTCACAGAAGCACTGTGAATAAAGCAATGCCACCCTGCCTGTTACATGGTAGGTGTTCAAAAAATATCCCATGCTCTTCCTTATTAAAAATAAAAATAATTAAAATTAGAATATTACTCAGAACTTTATTTAGATATTTCTTATTTATCAGCCAAGATCTTTCTCTTGAATGCAAAGAATATTTTTCTTTGTAAAAACTGAGGATACCACCTAACTAGAATTCTTTCCAATAGGAAATAATGATGAATTCTTCTTTATGGCTCAAAATCTAAAATGCTAATAGGGCTTAATTTTTATAGAACATTTGCTGTGGACCAAACATTACTCATGCTTATTATTTCGTTGAATTCTCACAATCACTCTTTAAAGTAAGTAACATTTAACAGGTGAGGAAAATTTATAGAGTCCAGCTGACTCTGTTTATAGTTAAAAAGTTAAGAGCCACAGTTTCAATCCTAGTTACAAGTCTTAATTGAGAAGTAAAACTGTGCCTTAGATCCAGCAGAAATTTTTTACAAAATTTAAATTCTGCCAAGTATGATAGTGCCTGATTTTAATCCTAGGATCTTGGGCGCTGAGGCAAGAGGATCCCAAATTCAAGGTCAACCTGTCAACTTAATGAGACACTGACTCAAAATAAAATAGAAAGGGCTGGAGATATATCTCAGTGGTAAAGTGCTCCTGAGTTCAATTCCCAGTACCACATACACACAAAAAGCTAAATCCTGTCCAATCCATTTTTATAGCATTTTTTATTTCCAGGCCATGATATGATTTCACACCTGAATGCATCACCTCACAAAGACATTCACCTAAATATTTAACATGTGAAAAACACACAACAGATTTCCTGACTCACACATAACCTTTAATTCAAGCACATCTTCTTATACATCCTCTAATCTTCTCTTCTGAAGAGGGGAAACATTTCACAAAATAAGTGGATTTCCATTGTTTTTCTCTTTGGGTCACATTCTAAGCTATGGAACAATAATACTGTTGAGTATTTTGCCTTATGCCTTAACTAATATCTTAGGAGGCAATGTTCCCAGAAGAAATCTGTATGGAACATATCATTCTGAATCACTTTGCTTAAATAGATTTCAATTTGCCTCCCAAATGAGCCCTGTTCAAAATCCTGGGACCACTAAACCATGTACTTTCTGATGGCAGGCACAGGTGCACCAACTTCTCCCTCCAAACATCCATGTGCACAAATCCTGCACTGACTCTCCATTGCTGATCTCTGTCCAACACCCCACACCCAGAATGATACCCCAGGCATCCCCAAGAAGTCACCAAAGGAACCTTGTGTTCACATGCTGGGTTCTTCTCTCCAGCTGCCCTGCAGCTCTCATAACCTACCTCCCTCTGCCAAACTTCATCAAGCTCCCCTCCAGACATTTTCTACTTCTTGAACTGTGTCCAGAGACCTTTGACTTTAATTGAAGCACACAGAGCGCCTGACAGAAATGTCATAAGCATAAAATGTAAAAGGTTAACTCTCAAGGAGAATGATGCAATTACACTGCATTCCCTTTAAGCAGGATAAGCTACTTATGATTAAATGTTCTCCAGTAAGGTTATTTTTTTTTATATTCCAAAATACCCTTCTGACCTTCTGCCTTCTTTTAATAAACTTTTATTTGTCCCCAAATAGTTAGAAACTGGTTTCTACATGTAGTATGAAAGGGCAAAGTTTGCATGTGAAGCTTTGGATTTCTAAGTGACTGTGTGTCATG